GCGAAGATATCTCTGGCTAAATTCGATGGAATTTTTTTTATTTGAATTCTATGAATCCATAGAATTCAAATCTAAAAAGTTTTACCAAAGTCAAGCGGGTAGTTGTTGATATATCTTCGCTCAAAGTTTTTAAAATTTTTATTTTTACTGAGATAGTCTATATATCACGTAGGGGTGGCACTAACAAATTGGGAGGTGGCAATAACAACACCCTATATTATATGCTTTAATTTTTGAAATTTATAAGTAAAGCTAATTTTTTTAAAAACTTTAAAGCTAAATAACTTTTTATTTACTAGTCTATTTTAAATAATTTTAATACCAAAATGCTTATCTCTTTGAGACAATTTCAATAAGCCCAAACTTACAAAATTCCAATTACAGAATCATGAGAAAATGTACTGTCAAATAAGGTAACACATTTGTATAGTAGAACAATCCAAAATGCTCATCTCTTTGAGATGATTCCAACAACACTATCAAATAAGGTAACACGTTTGTATAGTAGAACAATTGGTTTAGCTATTTGTTTTACTATATATAGTAGGTGTATCACCTTATTTGACAATGCATTTTTTATGATTCTGTAATTGAAATTTTGTAATTTTGGGCTTGTTGAAATCATCTCAAAGAGGTGAACATTTTGGTATTAAAATTATTTAAAACAAACTGGTAAATAAAAAGTTATTTAGCTTCAAAGGTTTAAAAAAAATTAGCTTTACTTATAAATTCCAAAAATCAGAGTATATGTATAGTGCTAAAACACCATAGGTGTGTTTTTAATAATTGTTAATTTTATATTTGTTAAATTTTTAAGAAAAAATATTTAATTTAAATTTTTAAACAAAATTTAAAATTCAAAGTATTTTTAATAACTTTATTAACAAAATTAATAAATAATACTATAAAAACTCAAAATTTTGCTAATTAATTTTAACTTTATGTTTTAAATAAACTTGTTTAAAATATAAAAATAGATTAATATTATTTACACTTAAACTAGTTTGCAAACTTCAACCAAATCTAAACTAAGCTTATAAACAAGTTTAAAATTAGTTTAGATTTTGAAAAATATAAATTTGAATTTAGTTTGAATTTAAAATTAACAAAATTTTAAAGTTGGGTTAGGTTTGATCAAACTCAAACTCAACCTCAAATCCAATAAAATCTAGAAGCCCTAATTTTAGCACTAATCTACTATTTATGCCTTGTTTACCAAAGGTTTAAAAAAAGATAATTTATAAGCAAACAGATAAAATTGAAAACATACAGTACCTTAAAATACCAGAAATTAGTTAACAAAAAATCCTGCATTCAAAAAAGTTATCAATTTTATCTAAATTGACAAAAATATACTTGGCAATCCTGGCAACTTCAACTCCTAGTGAGCATGACACTGGTAACTTATTAACATTGAAAAAAAACTAATTACCCCAGAATTATTCAAAAGGATGATGTTTTTAAAAAAGAGTATCAAAATATTCAATAATATAATATATTTTAGGATAGTTATAGAATTTGTGAATTTGTTCGTAATAAATATATATTACGAATTTTCTTTATAATAAATATATATAAAACAGGTATCCAATCCGGGTCAGATAGCTAAAGCTTATGAAAACCAAATAATTTTTTTTTAAATGCCCTAAAAACGTACTAATAAAAGAATCAACTTATGAAAACTTATTAATAGTACGATTATTTCCATTATTGACAATTCTAAGATTGAGTCTCCCGTTCGCATCAATTCCGACATAACCAACGCTATATCTTTCAGTATCAAGATTTATATCAGTATGACGAAGTGCTACATATCGATCATTATACCAAAATCGTATTTCATGATTGTTATGGTTATTAATTCGGATTAAAAGAACAGAAACATAGCAGCTATATTGATTTTGAAGCGCCGCAAGTATATTGTCCCTATCATCAGTGATTTTAAGTGTGTGATTATGATTATTGATATTAAAGATTTTGACTTCAAATTGATTTGAAATGTTAATATATCGTCGAAGACGAATACTACAAAGACGGGTTAAATGGTCATCTTCTTCTGAAGATGGTTCGGGAGAGGATAGATTAGGCTTTTTTCTTTTGACCGGTATTGAAGTGCGTTTTTTTCCTTTTTCCATGATTGAGAGAAAAAAACATTGATATGCAAAGGTTTAACGTTTTATGAGTTCCGCGTCACAATACAAACTCCTAAAATGAAATAGCTAGGTTGTAATACGTATTACCGTTACCCGTAAAAGTGATTTTAACAATATCCCTACCTGGAAATGTAGAAAAATTTTTTGGGTTAGTGAATATAAGATAGTAAGATAACTGGTAAGTTATTAAATGGTACGTATGTACCGCACGTAAAATTTTGAGTTAACCGTTCTATGTAATTTGTTATAAAAAAGCTGCAGGTCTTGATTAATTTACTTTATATTTGTGAAATCCTAAACAACTATAAATTATCTAATGACAATCGAAAAAAGGATTGAATTTGTAGTCTGGGGGTAATGAGCAGTATAATCGTCCCTCTGAGATATGACAGCAAAATCCGCGTGAATCCCGTTGTGTGCAATAATAAGTTACCTAACTCTAAATAAGTTTTATTGTCATAACGTCAAAGCTACGTCATAAGAGTTTGGGATTAACCGTCGGTTAGACTTTTTGATTATCTGGGTATAAATATCGATATTTAAATATTTTTAATAATAATAATAATAATAATAATAATAATAATTGTAATAATACAGTCAACTCAGTGCAAGTTCTCTTTAAATGCAATTATGAAATTTTTTATTTTAATTCTACGTGTTTGTAGAATCGGAATAAAATAAATTTATCGAATTTTGTTAAATAGACTTGGCCAAGTTGGGACTTATAAAATAAGTGCAAGTTCTTTATTCTGTAAGTGTAAGATTTTTTTAGCCAATATATATATATAAAATCATTTTCTCTAATTCTGTAATTGCAAGATATTTTATTAACCAATTAAATTGATTTATTTTATTTAATTAAAGTTTTTTTTTTCTAAGTGCAAGATATTTTTTTAATTTATTAACTTGCATTTAGAGAGAATTAATTATATATTAATTTAGTTTCTTTAATTGCAAGTTCTCTCTAAATGCAAGATATTTTGCTGGCCCATTGCTTGCACTTAGAGAGAGTTGACTGTAATAATAAACGATCGTGGCATTCAATTCTGATAGTTGGCGTGATTTTAGTTTCGTATCATCAAAAATATGCTGAAACAGGATATTCTAATATTCGATGAGTATATACATGTCTGGTCACCGCTATAAAGATAGAATTGAAACTGGAAGAGATTATAGGGCATTCATTGTCATCAAAAATCTTCCGAGATGGAAATGCTAATATCATGGAATTTGAATTGAAAAGGATGAATTAAAGCATTCATACACTGAAAATTTGCCAATATAAATAATTAATAGAGTATGCGCATTTGGCAGCCGGAATTGAGGTTGAAAAGATTATAAGGCATTCAATATCAAAAATCTGCGTGATCATTGTTATGAGAACTCATATACTATCAAAATTTGAAATGACGATTCCAGAATATTTGTACTTGATAACTGCCGTTGAAGATGCACAATTATTATTACTACTTACTCTTGTAGCATTTTTTTTTGGCACATACAAAGAACAATAAGGAACATGTCTCTGTTGCTTATTTGCCAATTTCAATCATACAGTATACAATTTTTTTAAAAGGTAATAATAAGTCGCTGAAAAGAATGATTGTTCTTTTTCTATGACCGGAGTGATCTTTTAATACAGCAGTTCCCCAAATTCTGTGACAGACTAAAAATTTGCACGTTTCCCGAAATCCCTTCGATTTCTTCTTATAAATCATCTAACTTTCGGTTCCGAAGACAGCGACGTGGTTTCCCGAAGAGTTAGGTGACCTTTAGGACGAAACAAAGAGATTTCGGGAAACGAGCTAATTTTTAGCTTGTCCCAGAATTTATGAGAACAGCTGTAAAGATATTACAATCGAAATAAATTTATTTATACTAGTGACATTGCCCAAGGGACATACTCTTTATATCTGAATCTAATAATGTTGAGAGGTTCTCTCCACTTAGCTAATGGAATAGTGATTGTTTATCAATTGAAGAAATTATTGATCTTTCAAATCCGGCTTTTATTGGGAATAATAATAATCATTAAAGAACTAAACAGGACACTAAATAACATGTCTCAATGATTAGGTTCAGGAAATCAATGATTACAATCCGGCAAGTTCAGTAACTCGAATGTTTAATGAAGACGATGGAACTACTTTTATACATAGAGGCTTTGATTCTTACATTAGAATTTTAAAACTATAATAACACTTATTTAATGAATATATATAATAATAATAATAAAAGTAAATAACCGAAAATAACTGGTAGATCTGATCTGTTGACAATTTTATACCGGTTTTCAGTAATAATTAGCCTCTATCGTTATATATTTCCACAGTATTTCTCTTTTAGATTCAACTAATAACTTTCTCAAAACTGTGAATTAGATCATGATTCTGGCTACATCACAGGTAATTCGGTTATATAGTGTAACCGATAAGGTACCTATGTTTCTATTGAGCGACTATCAGACATTTCTACTCGAATTTCGATAAAACTTCGTCGGAAAGTTTATGATCTACGTTTCAAAGTTTTATTTTGGAAAATACTGAAATTTGGAGCCTCGATTTAAAAATATAAGCCTTGATAAATCCACATATATTCCTTAATTCCCAATTTTAACCCTAAATCCTAACCTAACCCTAACTAAAAGCGGCCCAGAAAAATTGATCCAAATTTCAGTATCTGCCATTAACAATTATTTTTCACTTATTTTGCATATATTTGATATAATTATTAGACCTAACATATCATTTTTATTTAACATATCCTGTCTAGTTTCTAAATCACTCTTATGTTCTTGATTTTCTTGATCTGGAAATAAAATAACAAAGTTTTAATAAAGTAGTTTACGTCATTGATTTAACAAATTTGATTTGTTTTTGAGGCTGACACTAGTGAGAAAATGGGACATGTTTTTGAGTTTTGGTTGTTATCCCAAGTGAACTAGAAATCTCGATTCCTAAATCCAAACTATGCAATAATGTCATAATTCAAAAAAAAAAAAAAAAAAAAAAGGTTTGGGTCGCAACCCTAGACGTGAAGATCAGACAGATTATTGATTTTTCATTAATGTTACGTTTCTGACCTAAATTATAGTAATAGGTTAAATTTTTTACTATCAATCGAGAAAAGATACTAAATAAAAATTACCCTCGTTAACGACATTCATTATTTCTAGAAGATGCAAGACTATTGACTGTTTGTTCAGAAAATTCGGGAGACGAATGTGCCGCTTTAAACCTATTAAATGCAGCTTGTATAATCCTACGAGTGGTCTATAAAATAGCAACAAAAAAGGTGAGTCTAATTCAATAGGAATTGTAACAAGCTTTCATTCGTTTGACGATTCGTACAGATGGTCTTTTTTCACAACGATTATTTGTATTGGCACCTTTTAAGAATCGTGGAGATATAACGGTTACTCTATTTTGCGGTCCAACCTCGACCATTCTTTGTGAACACAGAGGGGAACCAAATGTAGGCCGAAAGGCCTCATATTCCGGAAGTTCTGAATAAAGAGACAACCAATATCACAATTTTTCCTCTGAATTAACATTTCACTTGAATTATGTACCAAATAAAATGTACCTACCTGTTTTACGAGCACTTAATTCTTCCGGATGACCTAATCTCAGTTTTAGATATGCACCTTGGTCATTGCTGATATATCTACATGGCTCTTTTCTAGGTGGTGAAGGCCATTCACCTTTTGATAACGATGAAACGGTAGTATATTTCGCAGCAAATTGTGGGTTATCAACAGCAGGTAAATTTGCAGCAAAAGGTAAAGTACGAAGGCCTTTGTCAACCTTGTATGACATTTTGAAATATGTTGAATCTTTTTGTTGTTGTAAAGGATCAAACTGATCATTTGCGACCGGAACAATTCTTGGTATGTTCTGCGTATTACCAAATAAATCCTCATTATGAACTGGTGGGCAAAATGTAGATTCATCGGATAAATTCGAATGTTCACTAAACTTTTCACGTTTTTTTTTTGCTTTGGCAATCATAGAAGATTCCAATTCTTGAATATCTTTCTTAATTGCCATAAGCCTAAACAAGAAAATGAAATTAGTAATATCACTTAATGTATCCCTCATTTGCCTAAAACTTTTATCAATTCAAGTTCATGTAATTGCACACTCGTTATATTATCGAACCTACTTTGCTTTAAAATCTTTTCGAGCTTCGGCAAAAAGCCACATCACAAAGTCTGGACCATAATCAAGGATGAATGTTACAATAAAAGTGATTACAGTAATCGAAGCCAAATATTTGTACATGTAATCATATCCTGCCTGTACGGCCAATGTAAATCCTGGGATATAAGAATAATAACCATAACTGATAAAACGATACAAGAGATGAAAATATATAACAAGAATAAGGACGTTTGGAATATCGCTCATTTTTATGCTCGCCATTTTTTTTTTTTTTTAGAAAAAAGAACAAGAACAATTATTAACGGATGGATGTTATATATTATTCCAGAGATAATGAATAATTAGTTTAATGAAAAAAAATGAGAAGACTTGTTGATCGAACAGCAATTATTTAAAAAAACCAGTTAAAAAAAAAAAAAAAAACTCTATTTATACAAATACTGCCCATCAATCGAATGATCAAAACAATCGCGTCAAGTAATCATGCTACAAATTTACCTATTGTGGAAACATAAAACGCGTCAAATGTGGCTAATATTCATCCTTTAATATCCTTTAATGTATCTCGTGATAAGGGGAATTGCTCCTGAAGACAATGTAACGTTGGACAAATCGTTAACCCTAGTGACACAATAATCTACATTGTTACCGTAACGGTAATACAAAAAAAAAGAAGAAAAAAAAATCACACTTCGAAACTATATAAGTCATAGTCAGAAGAATGATTTTGTTAGTAAAATCTCATATAAACTCTAAACTTAATATATTGCTGTATTGTATATGCTATATTAGACAGTTTTTTTTTTTAATTTTAAGATTTTTTAAAAGAATTTAATTATATATATTACAGTATACTGTATTACTGTATACTAGTATTTAAATTTTAAATTTATATTTTTAAAAAAGGGCGATTTTAACGCTTAGTTGCCGTCCAAATAGTTATAACTATTGGCCCAAATTGGGGACAAGTTCTACGGCTTTAACTACAGAACTAGTCCCAAAGTTCCAGGTTTGGATGACAACTATAGGTGCTATAATATATTAAGTAATTTAAGTTAGAGAATCTAAGTAAAAATATTCAGGACTCCTGAAAACCTTATAAAAACTGAAATTGGGACAGGAGATTGTACCCGTTAAGAAAATCTCTACCCGGGTATTATTAAATTACCCGGTTATTCGGATAATTTATTATAGCCTATAATAAAAATAACTACCAAAGTACAATCTCTAATTGAGACCTTATATCTAATCTACATTATGTTATATAAAACTTTTAAAACTGCACTCTAACAAAACCTCAAACAGGCTATACTATATCAAAATTTTGAAAAAAAATTGCAAATCTAATTGGCTAAAAAGTTTTTAATTAATCAAGATGGTTAATAGTTAAGTTTTTACAATTTTTGAACAAGAATAACTTGATAAATATCTGTTTAAAATCAATGAAATTTTTTTGTTTTTAATTTTATGAATCTATATAATTAAATAAAAAAATTTTATCAATTTTAGATAGGTAATTACTAAGATATCATTGCTCAAAAACAAGTTATAACATTATAACTAGCTTTTAAGACCTGACATTACTTGGATTTAAGTTTTTACTTTTTTTTTTAATTCTTAAACCTCAACTATATTAGCTTTTAGGTTTGGGCATAGCCCAGGATTTTAGATTTTTAATTTTCTTTTTTTATCTTAGATCTGGATTTAAATAAACCTATTTTAATCTAATTTAAATTTAAATAGACCTAATTTAGGTTTAAATAGCCCAATATACTATAAATTTAAATAAGCCTAATATAGGTTTAAAAGGACCCCAGACATATTTTATATAGGTCATAATTGATTTGTATAAATTTTTACTACTTTAAAATCAAATAAATTTGCTAAAAATTTAATTACTATATTTTATATAAATTTTATAATAATTCACTAAAAATTAAAGTATCATATGAGTGATGAAAAGGGAAAACCTGTAAATTATTTCACTTATTATTATAATGATTTACAGGTTTTCCCTTTTTGTCACTCATATATATTTTTATAAACAAAATAAATATATATATATTATTGAGTACTAAAAAAGTTTACTTAGAATATAAAGTTAAAATCAATTAGTAAAATTTTGAAAATTATAGTATTTTTTAGTTTTTTTATTAATAAAATTAAATAAAATATTATAATCCTTAAAATTTTACTAATTGATTCTAACTTTATGTTTTAATAAATCTTGAGATATTCTATACAATAGGTGGGCAAACTCTGCAAACTCTACAACTCTGTTAAATATTTATTAATAATTATTAATTATTGGCAAATTTTATTTTTTTATATTGTTTACCTATTTTATAGAATATTCAAATTTTGTTCAGCATATAAAAATATATTATATTAGTATATTTAATTTTATATTTCTTGAAACTTTAAGAGAAGATGTTTAATTTTGAATTTTTTAATCAAAAAATTTAAAATTAAGTATTTTCTTTTAAATTTTGAAAAATTATAAAATTAATTAATGATTTTCCAGTTAACTGAAGAATAAGTATAGTAGAACATGACTTAGTTTACTATATAAATCTAATATAGGTTAAATCTGAAATTGCTTCAAGGTAAACTTTTTTTGTACTAAGTTAATCGATCTTGTTAATTAATTGAAAGTTGTAAAGCTCATCTTTGTGGTTTTAATAGTAGTTAAAGTGTCAAAATCAGCCTAGTAGGTGCCAAGATATCTTTAAAAAATGTTTTTTTTATTATATAAACTTCTTTGCAAACAATAGTATTGTAGTAGTATTGTTTGCAAAGAAGTTTATATAGTAAAAAAACACATTTTTTAAAGATATTTTGGTATCTACCAGGCTGATTTTGATGCTTTAACCACCATTAAACTTGTAAAGATAAGCTCTATAACTTTCAATTAATTGACAATATCGATTAACTTAGTACAAAAAAAGTTTATTTTGAAGCAATTTTAGATTTAACTTATATTAAAGTTATATAGTAAACTAAATCATGTTCTACTATATTTATTCTTTAGTTGACTGGAGAATCATTAATTAAATATACTAGTATAAAGGTTTATTAAAGTTAGAGATAGCAAATATTTTAAAATATCATGTTTTAAAACATATTTTAAATGTTTTAAAACATTTAAACTTTTTAATAAAAAACAATAAAAATCAAATATATATTTATTAATTAATCATATTATAAAATTTTAATTACATAATTACTGTAAATTGTTGCATAAACCATCCTCTTTATAGAAAACCTCTCTTCTAATAAACCTGGGTCTGTTATTCGGATTTAGTAAAAAGTAAAAAGTACAAGACTCAGGTCTATTATATAGTTAGAGAGCTAACAAAAATCAGGTGATTTTTTAGAGGGGAGGGAGGTAAAAAAAGTTGAAATTATATATAAAAAACCTGACTATTTGTATATTAAGGGAGGGAGAGGGGGGTAGGCCTTTGATAAAAAATAATTAGGTGATTAATAACACAGCCTTTATATATTATACTTGTATTATATATCTGATTTAGAGTTGCTTAATTTTAATTGGTTAACTATCTTTAACTATACAACAGACCCCCCTTATAGTAAACTCTCCTCTGTACAGCAGACCCTTTCAGGTCTAAATTGGTTTTTGTATTGGTTTAAAGTAACAGACCTGAGTAGTTTATGTAGCAATTTACGATATATCTGATAATGTACTATATATAGTACAGTATACAAAAAATTATTAAAATATTCTAGAATAAATTATAAAACTATTTATATATCAAAAGTTTTTTTATAAAACCATCTTTTGTATTTTAAAAGATTAGTTCTTGTAAAATTTTGTATATAAATAGTTTATATATTATATATATACTAAATATATTATATATGCTATAAGGTAAAAAGGGGTAATTTGGCGAATTGTAAAAAAATGTAAATATATCGTGATCTTATGATCGGATCCGAACAATTTCTATACCATTCGAATCCTCTCATTGAGAGGATTCGAATGGTAAAAAAATTGTTCAAATCCAATCATGGAGTCACGATATATTTTCATTTATTTCCAATTCGCCATATTACCCCTACTTATAACATACACGTGGATTCCAACTTAAACATAACGCGGCAAGTATGGACATTTAATTTAGTACGCGAACAGTACGCGAACGATTTTGTGCGACTAATGTTGCTACAACATCTAAACAGAACAATATTTACCGGCAAATTT